CCAAAAAGAGCTGCTTTAGCTTAAAAGCAACACCGGGCTGTGAGTCAAACACAGTTGAATTTAGCTTTAAAGCATTGAAATGTAAGGTGAATCAAACGTGTTTAAATATTCCATAAATCTTAATATTGTTTGTGAACAGAAATGACCGAATATAGTTAAAAGATTACCGCGCGTTATGAACATTCGGTGGTCAGATTAATTTTTAAGATTTACTACAGAGTTTGCTTTACAGTGGGTGGCTTAAGCTAATACTGTTAAGTACTTACGCGGGCCCAGTATAGCCTTAGTGCAGGAAGTTGAGCACGTGTCACTGCATGCACATTTGTTTAAACACGTGACACGTGTCTACGGCGATGACCCATTTGTTTGGTATACCAATTCAGCCGTCATTGGTAAATTCGCAAGTAGAGATGGTGATGTACCTGATCACATGTGCCGTAGTGGTAGTGCTGGCAGTGTCTCACAGGGACGGAGTTAACGCCAGTACGACTTTGTCTTCTCAGTCATCTATTTCGTGCCATAAATTGTATACAGCATATAGCTCAAAGTATCGGTACTGCTTCGATTTCAACCTTTGCCAGTTCTATTCCTTCTATCTATCAGAATACAACGAATACTTATGTGTAAGCATTTATTTTATAACTGCAATCGGAAATTAACTTTAGTCTAAAAGGAAATGTGAATTTATAATTTCATTTTGTTTATATCTTTAAAACTATCTTTGCAGCGGATTCGATTCAATGTATTAGTAGTGATATCCAACAAAACCACACAGCTATAACAAAAATAGCATACAGTTATATCCAACAAAACCACACAGCTATAACAAAAATAACATACAAATATATCCAACAAAACCACACAGTTATAACAAAAATAGCATACAGTTATATCCAACAAAACCACACAGCTATAACAAAAATGGCATACAGTTATATCCCAAAAAAACACACACAGCTATAACAAAAATAGCATACAGTTATATCCAACAAAACCACACAGCTATAACAAAAATA